GGGCTTTATGAGCAGCAGCTCCAATTGGTAAGGCCCAGGCCAGCTGGAGTGGACCTGAGGCCAGCTCAGGCAGGGGGCGTGGAGGACCCTGCACAGGCTGAAGCTGACCCGGGTTGATAAGTGACACCAAGCAGTGCTTTTCAGGAGAGTGTCACTGCATAGCCTGTTAGCTTACAGCCAAATAAAGGCTTTCCAACCCTTATTGTGACCATGAACTCTGCCAGGTGAGTTGTTGGTATTCTCTCCTAAATTATAATGTGAAGGGTTTTTTTGTTTGTTTGTTTTCCCAGATTGTTGAGAAAAGCCTTCAGCTTATAGTAAGTTACCATCCTTTGAACTCCAAACAACACTGACTCCAGAGGTTACAGGATGAAAAAAGAATGTGCTTGGATGACATGAGGATAAGGTGGTGGGATGGGGAAGGTTTATTTTCACACATAGACATCATCCTTCCTTGAGCTCTATAGTTGCTTCCCTGCGGATAGGGTTGAACATTGTGATCCTGGACAGGATACACAAAAAGAGTCTTAAGCCGGGACCGGTTTGGCTCAATGGATAGAGTGTCGGCTTGGGGACTGAAGGGCCCCAGGTTCGATTCCGGTCGGGGGATGTACCTTGGTCGCGGGCATATCCCCAGTGGGGGGTGTGCAAAAGGCAACTGATCAATGACTCTCTCTCATTGATGTTTCTGACTATCTCTCTCCCTTCCTCTCTGAATAAAAATCAATTTTATATATATATATATATATATATATATATATATATATATATATATATATATATATATATAAAGGAGTCATAAGCACAGAACACCCTGTGTGTTGAGTTGGAATAGCTGGAGAAATAGGTGCTAAAGATGGTCAGAGTGGAGCAGAGAAATAGAAGAGTGACAAGCCCACCGAAAATAAGTTCCAGGAAACTAAAGACCTCCTGTGGGCAGAGGAGCCTAGAATCCTGGGGAAACTCGAAGGAAGATGTCTTTAATTGGATAAGGTATACCAGAGCCAGCAATTGGACTGAGTGATATAGTGCAGTGGTTGGCAAACTCATTAGTCAACAGGGCCAAATATAAAGTATGACGATTAAAATTTCTTTTGAGAGTCAAATTTTTTAAACTTCTTCTAAAACCACTTCTTCAAAATAGACTCGCCCACACAGTGGTATTTTGTGGAAGAGCCGCACTCAAGGGCCCAAAGAGCCGCATGTGGCCCGTGGTTGCAATAGCCTCTCGCAGTAGAGGATGGGGAAGCTGCGAAATCTAGGACCTTTGCATAGGTTCCCCACTGATGGAGGGCTGCTTTTTTTTTTTTTTTTACAAAAACCTTATAATCCAGTTAACATTTTTAAAAGAATATATTTTATTGATTTTTTTTACAGAGAAGAAGGGAGAGAGATAGATAGTTAGAAGCACTGATGAGAGAGAAACATCAATCAGCTGCCTCCTGCACACACCCTACTGGGTACATGCCTTGACCGGAATCGAACCTGAAACCCTACAGTCCGCAGGCCGATGCTCTATTCACTGAGCCAAATTGGCTAGGGCCCAGTTAATATTTTTTAAACTAAGTGTGGGAAAGGCAGCTCAGCATGGTTGTTAGTGTGGGTTCCTGGAGCCAAAATTTTTGTCGAGTTCTAGCTTCACGGTGTACTAGCCTCGTGGCCCTGGGCAAGTTACATAAGATGATTGTAAGTGTGAATCGCCCACAACAAATTTAGCTCATAATATACACTCAGGTGTCACCTCTCAGTTTTTATATTACTTTGAAGCAGGAACCTAAGTGACCTTTATGTAAAAATAAAATGGAGCAGCTATGAGTCTCACTCTACAAACTCGAATGAGGATTGTCTCATATGAAAGGATGGTCACCAATACTCAGGGCTACAGCCAGGCCTGAGCAAAGTGCTGCACCTCCCTAAGCTCATACTCCCCTGGGTGACACTGTGAAGCACGGTATGATTTCCTGCGGGCATATTGCTTTTCTGGGAGGGGAAGTCACTTTGTCTAAGCTTGCAGAGCTGGGAAATGGTAGCTCCAATACACACCCTCCTGGGCCTCATTCTAGAGACTGACCACAAGGGCTGTTTTCATTGCATCTGGACCTAGGTTGTGGCTGAAGGGATTTCACCAAGAAGTATTAGAGCAAGAGGTGGCTGTTATCAGACTTGTGTTACCTAACCTGTGTCTCCAGGCCCAAGAGGGATGACTCGGGGCTTACGTTGCGAGGCTTAATGGCCTTTTGCATCAGCAGAGCTCAAAATTCAGGAGTGTTCGGGATAGCCAAGAAAGTTCTGAAGAGAACAAGGACGCTAACATATCACAACATAAAAGCATTCTCCTTAGGGCCATGTGATAATGAAGCAGAAATGAGAAGGGGGAACTCTTAAAAAGAGAATCCAGTAGTAGGTCCATTTGTATAAATTTATGATCAAGATAAGTATTAAGAAACAGTGAGGAAAGAGAGGGTTCAATAAGTGGTTTGGGGACATCTGCCTTTCCACCTAAATGTTACACTATTTGCTGAAACCGGTTTGGCTCAGTGGATAGAGCGTCGGCCTGCGGACTGAAAGGTCCCGGGTTCAATTCTGGTCAAGGGCATATTACCTTGGTTGTGGGCACATCCCCAGTAGGGGGTGTGCAAGAGGCAGCTGATCGATGTCTCTCTCTCGTCGATGTTTCTAACTCTCTATCACTCTCTCTTCCTCTCTATAAAAAAAAAAACAAAAAACAATAAAATATATTTTTTAAAAATAATAATAATAAATAAATAAATGTTACACTATATTACACCACCATCATCACCCCAACTTAAATTTCATTATGGCCTAAAAACCCTCGGAGTCAATAATTTTAAAAAATGTAAAATTATTTTTATGATTTGGCCTTCCTAAGTAGTATATAATATGTAGAATGATAAAGAATTGATGGCTTTAACTTCGTAAAAATAAAAATGGAGAAGGGAATAAACAGGCTGGTGAAGGAGAATGTTGATGTTTTCTAGTCTACATTGTTTGAATCTTACACAATGAGAGCTTACTGAGGGGACATTGTGGCTTACAGGTGGAAGAAAATGGAAAACGGTGAGTAATTAACTTTGTACCATGGCTTTTAATCTATCGATCACCAAGTATCAAACCCCCTTATGTTCTTAGGCTGTTTGGGGGTTGAATAAAGGAGCCACCACCAGAGCCTGCCATCTGAAAGATGGTTGTCCGAGAAAGAAATGTTCCCTCAGGACAGCTTCCTGGAGGTGCAAACTGGGGAGGGTTTCAGAGGTGGGAGACAAGGATTTTCCAGGCTAGGGAGGCTGCGAATCCGCTTTGCACAAGGCTCCCACCCTGTCCAGGGAACAGTAGGGGAGGAAGTGCTGAGAGCAGGTCTGAGTCAGGTTAGGAGACTGCACCTGAGAGAAGGTCAAAGGTTTGAGAGAATGCTAATGGGGCTGGGAGCAGTCTGGGGACCCTCCTTAGCCAGGCTCGGAGGTGTGGATGGGGTGACAGAGTTTACCCAAAAGACTGGTCTGACTTCTGGCTAACATCACAGGATCAAACACGCTGCGTCAGGCAGGCGGGCAAACCAGGCCTCAGAAAGGTGACGACAGCCCTGAGCAGAGCCGTCTCCTTTCTTTCTTTAAGAGGAAATATATATATATATATATATATATATATATATATATATATATATATATATATATATATATCTGATTTTAGAGAGGAAGGGAGAGGGAGAGAGAGAGATAAACATCAGCAATGAGAGAGAATCATTGGCCAGCTGCCTCCTGCAGTCCCACACTGCAGCTGGAGCCTGCATGTGGGCGTGTGCCCTGGCCAGGAATCGAACCGTGACCTATAGGTTCATAGGTTGATGTTCAACCACTGAGTCACACTGGCTGAGCTCATTTCTTGACACACGACAAGAGAGTCCTCAACAACCCTGTGCACTCTAGCCCTGAGCTCACCAAAGTACTCTCATCCCAGAGTCAAGCTCAGCACAAGACAAGATACAAAGCATTCTTATCACGTGTCACTGCTTATTCAGCAGATTTCCGTAAGTGAACATAAACAGAGAAGCAATTTGGGAGACACTGTGGGAAATGATGGCCTGAGTCAGGGAGATGGCAGCAGGAGTGGTTAAGTCCCTCCTTGGGATTTCCTGATGGCTGGAGATGTAAGAGGAGTCACAGGTCAGAGTATGCTTTCGATGTGAGCACTTGGAAGTCAGTAATCCTCAGCTGTGGGTGGGGAAGGTTGCCAATGGGGCAGAGTTCAGTTTGGGGCATGTTTGTGAAGTTAGGGGAGAGGGAGTTCTGGGCTGGAGGTTTAAACGTGGAATGGGTTGGTATATAGACCGTGGAAAAGTCCTCAGTGAGTAAGTGATGGGTCAAGTGGGCCAGGCTCTTAGGTAGCCCCTGCTGGCTTTCCCGCTTAGAGTAAGGTGACCGGACGCCCCACTTCTGGCAGGACAGTCCCGCCAAAAGCGGGACGTCTGGTCACCTTAGCTTAGAGGTCTTCCTCTTTCCATTTTCCCTCCACATTTCCTACCCCTTCGCTGGGGACGGTCTGGGCCAGAGCCTTCTTCCTAAGGAGAAACTGGGGTCCCTCCCTTCTGAGGAAATGAGATTCTTTTCAGGTCACTCTGCAGTGTTCTTCCCTTCCCACCTCTACCTTTAACCCCACCCTCACCCTACCCCACCCCGTGTCCCCAAGGCCTGGAGACAGGCTGGTGAAGGAACCTGAGCCGCCTGCCCTGCTCATCCTAAAGCACAGAACAGGGATAGAAATAACCCTGTCACTGTGACTTTAATTGTGCTGAGGGAGGGAGTCCCCTGCCCTGAGCTCACCAGCGGGGTAGACTGAGAGAAGGAAGTGGAGTTGGGTTGCAGAGAGCACTGAGCCCCGCTGCTCTGGGCCTGCTCACACATGAAAACTTCCTGCGATGAGAGCGGAAGCACAGGTGCCGTCCCCAGCACCGCAGCCCCCTGAGCCTGGGCCAGCGGGGAGCCATGGGCAGGCCCCCGGCCCTGGTCCTGCTCTTGGCACTGCTGGCACTCTGCATCACTGCTGGTGAGTGGGGCTGGAGAGAGCCCGAGGCCGTGGGGAGGCCCTGGAGACCCAGCCCTGGGCCCTTCCTGAGTCTGTCTTCCGCAGGGACACCTGAGGTGTGGGTGCAGGTTCAGAGGGAGGCCACCGAGGCCCTGTCCTTCACTCTTCGCTGTGGATTCCTGGGTCCTGGCAATGTCTCTCTGGTGACTGTGAGCTGCGGGGGGCCTGATGGTGCTGGAGGGACCAAGCTGGCGGTGCTGCACCCAGAATTCGGCTCTGAGCAGTGGCCGCCTGCCCTCCAGGCCCGCTGGGAAACCAGAACCAGCGTCTTCCTCACCCTGGAAGGGTCTGAGGAGAGAAGCCTTGGTCCCAATACCACCTTCTGCTGCAAGTTTACTTCCTTCCCTGAGGGCTCCCAGGAGGCCTGTGGGAGCCTCCTCCACGTCACAGACCAAGGTGGGGCTGGTGAGGAACAAGGTTCAGGGAGGGCAGGAAGGAATTCGGGGCATCGGCCGGGGATCTGGTACGTCTCTCTTTGTGCACAGGGTTCCCTGCCTCTACTTCAGCCTCTCTCCTACGGGCTGACCTGGCTGGGATTTGGGGGATCTCAGGGGTCCTCTTCTTTGGCTGTGTCTACCTTCTCCACCTGCTACGTCGGCAGAGGCACTGGTGAGACCCCAACCCCAGCCGGGCCCAGTCTAAATCCTCACACCATTGAGCTAGCCGTGTGCTGTGTTTCTGACCCTCCTACCTCTCTCCCAGGTCCGTCACGAAGCTTCAGCCGCCCCTCAGCAACCCCCTGACACAGACACAAGCAGCGGTGAGCATCAGGGGCCACTCTGGAGCAGGGAACTGAGTGGGCTGGAGCTGGGGGCCATGAGGGGAAACCTCACCTGGCCCTTTTCCTCTGCTGTCCCTGCAGGCAGCCAGCCAAGCCTTCCCGGCCTCTCCCCACATCCCCTATGCCACCATCTCCACCCACCACCTCTGCCGGGCAGCTATGGGCACGGTCCTTCCACCCCAGCCATTGTCCAGGAGGGAGCTGATCCCCCGCCACACTGCGCAGCATCCTGCCCCGTGGGCGCCCCTGCCAGCCTCTGCTCGCAACAGCTTCATCTCCGTTGAGAACGGACTCTACGTTCAGGCAGGAGAGAGGCCTCCCCACATCTGCCCCAACCTCATCCCCTTCCCTGACCCTCTGTGGCCCAGAGCCATGGAGGGGCGTTTAGGAGTTTAATGAGAGGGGCCCCCCGAGTCCACTCGACCTTCCTCCCCTCCCAGGCCTCTGGGGCCCCCTCCCATTGGTGTTTGTGCACCTTATTAAGCCTCTAATAAGTCCACACACACCTGGCCAGGGCCCACTTGCTGCGGATGTGGCCAGCGCGTGTGCTTGTGTGGGCACGCGTGTGCATGAGAGGCGACAAAACCCGTCCCAGGTAGTTTCCTGCTCTGTCGACAACCAAGGCAACAAAAATGGTTTATCTGACTGGGGTCTTGGCTGGGCCTTGTCTTCTTTGGGAACTTCAGAGGTTGGAGGCAGTTCCAACCCCTGGAGGCAGGAGCCAGGTTAGAATCAGAGGGAGGAGGGCCTGGTACGGGAATCTCCTATCCCCTACCAGAGGCGTGTCCTGGGCTGGGGGAGCCATGCCAGGCTGGTGACTCCTGGCCCTGCAGGCCTTGCTGAGACAGCAGGTGAGACTGACAGACTGGGCGTCTGATGGCCCCAGCCAGGATAGTCCACGTTCAAATCCCATCATGCCCTGGGCCAGCACAAGGGCTTCTGAGGCTTCAGCCTGAGAAAAGACCCTGGGTCTGGCCTGGTGTCCCTACAACAGGGCTCCCTGAGATGCCTGGGGATGAAGCCCTCACACACACACACACACACACACACACACACTGCTACACACACACACACACACACACACACACACACACACACACTGCTCCACACACACACACACACACACACACACACTGCTCCACACACACACACACACACACACACACACACACACTGCTCCACACACACACACACACACACACTGCTCCACACACACACACACACACACACACACACACACACACACACACTGCTCCACACACACACACACACACACACACACACACACACACACACACACTGCTCCAGAGTTGATGCTCAGAGGCAGGGAACCCACCTCACATCTGCCCACGTAGCTTCCTCGTGCTCCTCTCCTGCTACTGGGCACCAGACTACTCCCCTGGCCCCTGGCAGGCAGGCCCATTCGACACAGGGACTGAACACACCCTCCCCTCCCACTAGTCTTCCCATCCAGGAGGTGGCTCTCCCTCCGGCAACAGGCCCAGCGGCCTGGCCTCACGACGCATTTGCCACATAAGACAACGTGGTGAGAGAGCGCTGGGAGCCCAGAGGCTCCACAGGAAGGGGGCAGATTCCTGGGAGGTGGGGGGCAGTCCTGGAGCCTCAGGCTCAGCTACCCCCAGCCAGTTCGGAGGGCGGCGGGGACACCTGTCCCTTGGCCTCGTCCTTGGTCTTGCAGGTGAGAAACCCCAGGGAGTCCGAGCTGTCCAGCTAGTAGCCACCTCCTCTGCCCCTGTGTGGCTCAGGGAGGCCTGGCCAGAGGCTGTATCCAACCACAGCAATTTCTAGCAGGCAGCTCACCCTTCCAGACATGCTCAGAGTGGCCTTCCCAGGAGCCGGGCCGGCTAGCCACCAACTCCACACTCACTAGGAAGAGGATGGACCAGAGGGAGGGGGGGGGAGAAGGGGTTGTCGGACCTGCCTCCCTCAGCAAGTGGTCCTCCTCCTCCTCCTCCTCTGAGAAGCCCTCGGCACTGTCTCGCCAGCTCAGTGGTCCCCGTGGGCCGGGCCGGGATTTAGGGAGAAAGGGGGGGCTGCAGAGGTCCCTGAGGAGTGAGAGAGAAGTCAGTGAGGGAGGGGGTGGCTCGGGGCCCAGCAGTCCTGGGATCGTGTTGGGAGCAGGGACGGAGGATTGCGGGGCAGTGAGGCCTGCAGGAGGGGAACGTTCATGGAACAAGGGGAGCTCTGAGGGACCCCCGTCCCCAGCCCAGCTCCCAGCCAGACCACTTCTCTAAAAGTGAGTGGGGGAGCCAAAACCGGTTTGGCTCAGTGGATAGAATGTCGGCCTGCGGATTCAAGGGTCCCGGGTTCGATTCTGGTCAAGGGCATGTACCTTGGTTGCGGGCACATCCCTAGTGCAAGAGGCAGCTGATCGATGTTTCTTATTAATGTTTCTGACTTTCTATCCCTCCCTTTCCTCTCTGTAAAAAATCAATAAAATATATTTAAAAAAATAAATAGATAAAATAAAAGTGAGCTGGGGGAGCGGTCCTCAGGCCTGAGCCTGTCTTTCACAAGCAAGCTCGGGAGGCACGGCCAGCTGCTCGTGGTGGTCCGTAGAACCAAAAACCTGGGGACCCAGGAAGTCTTCACAGCTGGCGTGCCCCCCACTGTCCACCCACGTGCAGACCCAGCGGTGCCGAAGGGACCAGCTGAGAGAACCACGTGGCCCTACATCGCGGGGATGTCGCTGGACACAGCGCAGGGGCAGCAGAGCAGGCTCCCTTCTCAGACCCCGTCTGGGAGAACATGCTCACGTATGTTCAACAAATGTGGGAAGTGAGGCCCCAGAGAGAGAGGACTTGCTCAGGGGGCCAGTCCTGCATCAGCCCTTCGCCTCCACAGACAGCCATCCATAATCCCAGGCTCGCTCTGTGAGCTGACCTGGGTTTGAATCCAGGGCCTGTGGGATCCAGGGCTTACCGCCCCTCTCCTCTCCGGGGCTCTCGCTTGGCTCCTCTGGCACGCGATAAGGTGATGAGGCCCGAAGGGATGGAGACTGTATACACCAGGGCCAAGTACCCAGCAACGAGGCCCGGGGTATCTTATCCAGGACTTACACAACCCCAAGGGGCAGGGATTTTCAATAAATCTATTTAACAGACCTGGACAGCTGAGGAGGGATTGGGGAGGGGGGGGGGGGAGAGGATAGGGATGCGCAGCGTGACTACCAGGGACTGGGAGGCGGGAGAGCAGGGATGTAGCCGCCCTCCGCTGACCCCCCTGGAGGTGCCCAGCGAAAGAGGGCACTCTGCCCAGAGAACAGGATCCTGGGAGGTGTCTGGGCTTCCCAGAGCTGTGACCCACTCACCACGACACCGGGATCCCCACCCCCTCCCCGCCTTTGTCTGCACCAGCGGTCCAGCAGCGCATGCCCAGCCCAGCCCTTTTTCATGGTCCAGCCCCAGCCGCTCCCGGGCTCCTCCCACCCCACCTTCCCAGCCCTCCCCCAGGTCCTGCCCCTTCGCCTCAGCTCCCTTTAGTCCCCTCTCCATCCCCATCCCCTCTCCATCCGCCCACCACTGCTCCCCCTGCCGCTCTGAGCTCTGAGCCCTCAGGGCCATTGCGGACCCGAACCCCCAGGAGGTCGGACGAGGCGCCCAGCAGCCGCCTTCCCTCCCACAGGCCCCTCTGGACACCTGCCGGGTGAGCCCCAGGCCCAGAAGGGGTGCTGGGACCTGGATGCCAAGACCACCGCCGGTATGCGGCCCCATTTGCCGGCGGGTAGGGACCTCACCCCCAGCCCCTTCAGGGCGCCCATCCAGCTCAGCTGAGGTGGCCCGGAGGCTGCGACTGTGACCGGCCTGGGCCTGGGGCCTGGAGAGAGGAAATCAAACAAGGGGGGTCCACGGACTCCGCCCAAAACGCAGGGAGAAGACTTCTGGCTGGGATGCGGTCGGGGCTGAAAGGGACAGGGTAGAGCTGAGTCTCCTGTGTTTGTGGGCTCTCCCAGACCCCAGAGAGAAACCGCAGGCTGTGGCCCCAATCCCCATCCTTACGGAAGATTCTAGAGCTGTTGGTCCAGTCGTGGGCAGGGGAGACTCTCCAATTTCAAATCTGATGGTGCAGCTGCAACATCTGGAATTCCCATAGCTGGGCCCTTAGACAGTTTCACTCCGGCATCTGTGAGCTGGGTCAGCTGGCTCACCCGGGAAACGGGGCTGTGTGGTAAATAAACAGACAAACATTACAATTGTTAAAAGATCAGGGTGCTATGAATAGGAATAATGGGATCTCTCTGTGTAGACATCCTATCTAATAAAAGAGTAATATGCAAATGGACCATCACTCCAACACACAAGATGGCTGCCCCCATGTGGTCAAAGATGGCTGCCCCATGTGGACACAAGATGGCTGCCACAAGATGGCCAGCAGGGGAGGGCAGTTGGGAAAGACCAGGTCTGCAAGGGAGGGCAGTTGGGGGAGATCAAGCCTGTAGGAGAGGACAGTTGGAGGTGACCACGCCTGGCCTGCAGGGAAGGGCAGTTGGGGGCAATTGGTCTGGCAGAGAAGGGCAGTTAAGGGAAATCCAGCTGGCAGGGGAGCAGTTAGGCATCAACCAGGCTGGCAGGGAAGTGGTTAGAGGTGATCAGGCTTTAGGCAGAAGCAATTAGAGGTGATCAGGTAGGCAGGCAGGCAAGCAGTTGGGAGCCAGCAGTCTTGGATTGTGAGAGGGATGTCTGACTGCCCATTTAGGCTCAACCCCAGTAGGAATGGGCCTTAACAGGCAGTCAGACATCCCTCTAGGGGTCCCAGCGGAGAAGGTGCAGACTGGGCTGAGGGATACACCCCCATCCCCATGCATGAATTTTGTGCACTGGTCCTCTAGTATTTATATAAACTAGAGGCCCAGTGCATGAAATTGTGCACCAGAAGGGTCCCTTGGCCTGGCCCGTGGGATTAGTCTGAAACTGGCTCTCCGACATCTCCCTAAGGGTCCTGGATTGCAAGAGGACTCAAGCCAGGCTGAGGGACCCCACTGGTGCATGATCGGGGCTGGGGAGGGATGCAGGAGGTTGGCCAGCAGGAGAGGGACACATTTTTAGGGAGAGTGGAAGAGAGGGAAAGACAGAGAGACAAATACATCTACTGGTTGCCTCCTGCATCTTCTCGACCAGGGCCCAGGCCTGCAACCAAGGTACATGTCCTTGATTGGAAGCGAATCCAGGACCCTTTGGTCCACAGGCCGATGCTCCATTCACTGCACCAAACCAGCTAGGGCCCCAGGGGGAGTCTGTGTAAACTTACAATAAACTTCTACAGTGGTTGCTTAAAAACCTTTTAGTCTGCGAACTTTATTCTTCAAACTTCGTAGGACAAGAACCCTCAGGGAGAGTCTGCGTCCCGAACGCCATGTGACAACAGTAGTGCAACAT